CATTGAAGTCATTTATTGAAGTTGCAGTATTGTTCTCACAGTGCAGTTTTATACTTTTACAGCTCCAGGCAGCCACAGCTTTTAGCAAAAATTTCCCACTAGCTGCAGATAGCCTATTGTTCACATTACTTGGCAGCCTTACTAAACTACGTAATTTCAAAGACCTTGATAGTTACATATACAGTTCTTTTCCCAATTATTTTTCATATCTATGGTCTCTTTTCCCAGGGTCTGTATCCCACCAAAGCCAGAACAACCCATTCCATAAGCTCCACTACGCTCTCTGTTCTGTCCCCTATTTGTTCTCCCATAGATGATCTTTACAGTCCCCTCCAACCCAAATCATTCTGTGATTCTAAATAAACACAGACATAGAATGGCTTCTTCCTCAAGTACAACTGATGAATGTGGTCTGCAGCAAATAATTAATAGAAAATAAAACACAGTTTGATCAGAAGAAACCTCTGCTAAGTGAATATATTGCATCCTCTTTTCTTTTCCAAAAATATCTTCACCTTTATAATAAGCATGGAAGACAATACAACGTAGAATTTATCTTTTAAGGCATAGGTCAAACTGGAGACCAAAAGATGTTTTGCTACACAGAAGATAGTTTTTATAGCATTCTTCATTGACTGGTGCTTGTGGATAGACATAAGAGGTGATTTTACACACTATGTCACTACCAGAAATTGACCATAACAGACAGAATTGATCATCAGAATTGAACCCAAGGAGTTTTTTATCACCTGAAATCTGATGGCTCTAATGAGTCCAGTGCAGTGTTTGGGAGCAGAGTAACTGAATTCATATCAACAAATATGAATATCAGTAGTTGTCTCAGTAAGTCAAATGAAGAGCTCCTTTTGTAGCTGAAATCAAGAAATAGCCATTCAGGCAGTGATTCATCTCACTCTGCAGTACGTGACTGAAACGGAGCAGGTGAAAACTGCTCTAAGGCTTCCTATTTCTCTCCGTGAACTGTAAAAGGAGATCTTGGGTGATTAGGTCAGGTGGGTACCTCAAAGTGCCTAAGATTTGGAATGATTAAGATAAGCAATGGCAAAAAGGTTTAATACAGCGGTGTGAGGCATAGCATGTTTTTAACAAACTTTTTCAAGTCTTCAATTGTATTAGATGCTTTTTCAAGAAACCAATTTCTTATTGTAGTCAATTAATCTACTATGCATAAAATGAATAAATATTATCTTGATACCATTTACTGCCTTTAAAAAAAAAATTGGACCTCCTAAAACTGATTAGTCTCCAGAAATAATTTCATTCAGCAACATTTCAAAACTGCAACACAACTGATCAAGACACATGAAATAGTAAGATTAAAAAGATAAATACATAATTTCAAGGAATTAGTTTTAGCCTTTGTTTCTAACTCCTTGACACTTCCCATGATTTCCCTTGGACACACAACACTTAAGAATTTTGAGGAATCTTGCTATGAATGGGTAAGTGTGTAATTACAAAAGAGAAAAAAAACTACTATGAACATGATGTAAAATGATATTATGCTGTGTTACAAATGTAGGTAAAAATTCATTGCTTATACATAGAGTGAATGATCTGTACCTAATGAGTTGTCCCACCACAGGTCCAATCTGTTGGTCAATACATGTGGGAGGCTCTTCCTGTGATACAAACTGACCTTATTTAACAGCATACAAAGGTGGGCAAAGGTGCAGTGGTTCCCTGCAAACAAAAATAGTTCTAAAGTATAGCCACTAGTGTAGCAGAGAGAATAAAAAAGAAGAAAAAAACCCCCAAAAAAACAAAGAGAAGAACCCAAAAACAACAACAAAACCAAAACCAAAAACATAAATAAACAAAACCCCAGAAACCAACTCCAAGATGTAACTGTCCCTGAACTTGGGAAAAGGTTTAGCAACAGAACAAGAATATCAGAAAATGCTTGTATTATCTCTGCTTCACATTGGTAATGAGGTAATAAAATTTATGTAGTCATTATGAGAATGCATGCTAAAGGCAGGCATTTTAATTTCTGCATAAGCAATGCACATAATTTTTTTTTTCTCAAATACAGCTATAATTTAGAATAACAATTAGAATTCATTAAAGTTCTTCTGATTGTTTTTTCCCCATATTTTTTCGTCTTAATTAATGTAATACAAAAGGAAATTTTAAGCTCTAGTTAATTTGTTTTTCTCAGACTAAGGCACTTGTGCAAGCTTTTAGTGCATAAAACTGAATTGAAGAAGTAATATTAATGCCCCTTGAATATCCCATCAAACATTTTTAAATAGATGCTTGGATCTTCTAATTGCCAATGTGAAACTGTCTGAAGATTTCATATTTTGTGTACAGAGCCCCTTAACAACTTTCTTTTTTCATACTCTGACCACGCTAAACATTTGATATCCCAGAGGAATTTGAATAAAAATGTCATAGCACTCTTCTGAAAAAGGGAATACAGACTTTGTGAACAAATTTATTAAGTTGTCTTGATGTTTAGAAAAGAAGATAATTAAGATTTGGAAGACATTTAGTTGGATTAAAACCTATCTGTCATTGAAGCTAAAAGAATGAACAATAAACTCTTTAACTCATACTGAGTGTATTTTTCTAGCTTTTATCATAGATATATTAAGTAGTAAATTAGTATTTCTGAATATAGTTTAAAAAAGTCAAGCTATAATATATTCATATGCCTAGATATGCCAGAAGTGGTTGTATGTTTACTTCCTTTATTAAAATGTAAAGCAGAAATGTCTTCATGCTCTTTTATAAAAGTGTGAAGCATCTTCTTCAAAATGTCCATGTTAGTTACATAAAAAATAGATGATTCATAAAACAGATAATATTTTTTATTGTTTTAAACTTAGTTTCATCCTACTATTTCCCAACTAATACTGTACCAGGACTAGTGTACCTTAAAGTGAACAGAAAATATCTCAGTTTGAAAACAAATAGATTGATGTGTTTTCAACTGATCCCTTTGGGTTCTTCTCCTAAGGGTAGCTACCTTTAGCGATAAAAAGGCCAAACCATGAGAGTGTGACCTTTCCTCATAAAGTTAGGATATCAAAAGTGATTCTTTCTACACTTACATTGCTTTGCAAATGCTCCCTGGAGCGGTTTTGTAGGGCCAGAGACTTTTTTGAACTCATTGTTGAAAAAGAAATAGCATATAAGAAAAGGAGATTTAGATTTTTTTTTTGTGTTTTTTTTTTTTTTTTTTTTTGTTTTTTTTTTTTTTTTTGTTGTTGTTGTTTTGGTTTGGTTTGGTTTTGGTTGTTTTTCTTTCCATTTCTCAGTTCATCCAATTTTCAAAGGTGTTTTGCACATTTTTAGGTTTTTTACTTCTGTTACCAGGATGGTCAGTTTTAACCTGAAAACAACTATCTTTTGAATGCTTCCACTTTACACACTGGAACTGTCTTCCAGAATTGTGTGTTGAGCCAGCCATTACTTGCAGGCATGCAGCAAATATGGGAGTGTCATTGATGAATATATGTGTCAGCCAAGAATCTGCTTCTGAGTGTGCCTTCTGACCACACTGCATAAAGATAGGGTGTACAGAAATTGTGAGAAAAGGTTAGATAATATAAACAAAAACTCAAGTGACATTAATAAAAGAATAAAAATAAGGAGAGGAAACCCACTAAAATTAGGCTGTGTGCGTGATCTGATGCTCTGACCTTTGCAAAAGGATGTATTATAACTAAATTTGGTAAAGTATAACTTCACAGTTTCCCTGTAACATTAAAAGCTTCAGATATAGTGAAAGGATAAAAGATCAGATGTGCAGTGTTAATGTTACTGTATTTTGGGTTTGGTACTGCAATATAAAGTGTCTTTTCAATTTCAATGGCATGCTATTATGAAATTGAGGATTTTAGAACTCCTTAGTGCAATGCAATAGATTAGGATTTTTAGATTTTTTTTTTATGTGACAACAAAGATTGTATGGGGAAAAGAGTGAGTTTATCTAGGTGTTGAACTATAATACTTTTAAGAGAAAGATCAATATGCACTTAATCCTCTTAGAGACGGAAATTACTTTTCTGAGCACAACACAATAAAATCAGAAGTATTTCTTGGCAATTTGTATTAAATTTGCACATTTCATTTTCCTATTTGTTTTTTTTTTTTAGTTCTCCAAAACAGCCTTGTAATCTTTAGTTTGAAGATTTTTAAGTTACTAATGTAAGAGATTTATAAGATTCTAATATAAAAATAAATTTAAATATTATGGTTGTGGGGAGCATTATAATAAGAATTACATATTCCAGCATAAAATAAATTCTTTTTGAAGTTTATTTTATTCTATTTTACCTTTTATATATTAAAAAGTGTGTCAGTTGGCAAGGTAAAGTTAATGACTTGTGAAATTACAGAATTAAGTGCCATGTAAGTATTAATTAATGGTTCTTTTCCCCAATATAAATTATTTTAGAGGAACTATGTGTTATGAGAAGCCTGCCAGATGTTACTCAGAGAACATTAATCCTGAAGTTACATTACAAATAATCAACACAATGTTTGAAGACTGTTAAGCCTTGTATTGAAGATGCATTTATGAGTTTATTCATACTATGCTAGACAGTTATTTCATTCTTTTCAAGGAAGTAAATGGCTGTGAGGTTTGCTCTGTGCCACTGAAGATAACACAAGTTTTATCACACATTTCAATGAGAAAAAAAAAGAAACCCAACAAAAAAAAACCCCATCCACAGCCTGGTTGATGTCAAGATATTCCAAGTCTTCTCTTCCATTTGATACAGTACAGTCTCTCTTTTTATGCCTGTTATATAGTTGAATTAATAGTATTTTAAAAAGAAATATTTCTAATACTGTAATTTCCAGGTCACTGGGGTGTTCAGTCAGGGAGATTAATCCTTCTTTTCTTTGCTTTTGCTGTAGAGTTATTTATATAGAGCTACAATTATTTATAAAAACATCTTTCGATACTGTATATTTTTCAAATACTAATAAGTTTGCATTTGTTATCAATACTTTTATTTTAGGCTGCCTGGAATTAAAAGAAGACACCATTGAAAACCTCCTGGCAGCTGCTTGCCTTCTCCAGCTCCCCCAAGTAGTAGAGGTTTGCTGCCATTTTCTAATGAAGCTTTTGCACCCATCCAACTGTTTGGGAATACGAGCATTTGCTGATGCGCAAGGGTGCACAGAGCTTATGAAGGTGGCTCACAACTACACCATGGTAAGGCAGTTTTGGAATATCTAAATTCGAGTCTTGTGAATCCTATATATCCTCTACAAGTAAAAAAAACGTGTTAGGATTTGGATTGAAACTATTCTGCATTATATTTGGTATTTCTATGGAACTTTATTTCATAAGTGGAAACCATTGAAGTGGGGATTCCTAATAACTTCAGTGAAGTTATGACAATTGGCCTTCTATGATGGAGGCACTGTTTGCTGGGTCAGAACAGTATATAACTTATTTAGATGCGTGATCTCATGCAGGTGAAATAGTAAAGTGTATGTAAATCGTTATAATAATCTTTAATCACTTTAGTTTAGCTTTAGAGAAGCTTTGTAATTGTCATTGTTCTGCATGGGGACACTATGAAGGGAAGTTGTGTTGGGTAGTTGGTTTTGGGTTTTTTGTCAAGAATTTTAGTCATCCTTTTAGTCATCTGTGAAGTAGATTACGACAGGAAGTTCTAGAAATAAGGAATTTTTATCTGGTAATATTTAATATTTTTCTAGTTTCATCTGACAGAACAGGTATGGAATTAATGTCAAAGTTTAACCGGAATTAATGAAGCAGAAATATACTACTTATTCAGGAATTAAATCATATTGATTTTTCATATTTTGACAAAATTAAAAACATCTGGCTCATGAAATTAAGCTTACATAAAGAGTAGATTATATATAATTTATGAGAAATAATGGTCCCTTTAGATCTCTACTGAAATGATTATTGAAGTAATAGAGCACATTTCAATGAATCTCTTTCTCTTGTTCAGCGTTTTTCTCCTTATTTTATTTACTCTTTTCTGTAACTAACAACACATTACAATTCACAGGTTTAACTGTGTTTTATACCACTACAGTTCAGGCAGTTATACCCATGTTACATTTCTGGAGCAAGTTCTGTGATTTCTCTGTATTACAGGCCCAAGCTAGTCAGGTATACCTTGGTCTGTCAGTAGAGATAAATAAGCTGTAAAAGCAGAATTCATATGACCTTCTTTTGAATGAAATTATATTAGGACTGAACAGATGTGTTTTGAAAAATCCAACTTTTTTATCAATATATTTCTTAGATTTACATATTACTTTTATATTTTCAGTCTGTTTTGTTGTATGAACATGAGAAAAATAGTGAAAAATATTGATTTCAAAAATTTTTAAAACTGTTTATGATTCTTTAAAAGAACTTACTGAAATATTTTTGGGTGAATGAAATTGCTCATCATAGTACATTTGAAGACTTGTGACTAATACATATCTAATGTATCACAATGTTCACAAAGATCTGTGCCATGTCTCAGATATTTGGTATATAATTTATTATTCTTTTAATGCTGAGATCTAAAATCTGAATTATGTGTAATGGGAAAATCACCAAAAAAATGGAAGATCATAAAGGAATTCAGTTGTAATTAATAAGCAAGCTCTGATTTATCTTCAAGGGCATTTGCAAGCATGAACAAGTCTTGCTTTCTCTTTGCAAGAAAAACAGATAATCACCATGAAATGACAATATTTTTTTCTGACCCAGTGAAAACATAACCCTAAAAGATAAGCTTCATAGTGTGTGATATTTTCACAGGCTTTGTGTTGCTTCTTTTAGATGTGAGCCAGCTCACATCTATTTGCCTTACTTTTTTGTGTTAATGTGTGTAGAAGACCAGTTGTGAGTGGGGAAGGAGTTCCTTATTGCCTATCTTCATTACAGCACTTTCAGTCAAAGAGAATTTACATAAGAGAAAAGTGATTAGTTCTTCTACATGGGTACAAAACCAGGAAAAAACTTACACAGTTCAAGGAAGGTACCCTGAGTGTGATAGAGGAACACTGGAGACCTGGGAATATGAAGAAAGGGGAGGAATGTGAGAAGCACAGGCAAAGAGCAGATGCATAGTCTCTGAGGGGACAGAAAGCATTATTTTTTCCTTCAGACTTCAGGACAGTAGTATGGACTGTGATGAGGGCAAAGTAAGGTAGGGAAAGAGGGAGTTTCTTAATAAACTCCTCCAGTCTTGTGCAGAGGACTTGAGGGGAAGTGGTGGCTAAAAAACTGATGGAAAATTCACTGTTTCCTTAAAAAATAGTTCTCTTGCTTTCCAGAGAACTTCAAGGTCCTTTCTTTAAAGGTTTTCAAGAGTTCAAAGTGGTGTATCTCAAATTCTTGATAAGTGAATCTTCTTCCATAGTGTTATTGCAAAAGTTTGTTATGAATAGGAAGTAAAAGTACTCCCTTAACTCTGGAAACTTGTGCAGTTTTTTGCTTGAGATAGAAACCTCAAAGAAACAATAGTTCTATACTGGTGTAGGAATGGGGAGGAAGACAAAGTTTTTCAAATAATCTTGCAAAAATAGATTTATAGGCATGGCTTATATGATTGTGTAATAATTTTGAGATATGACAAGTTAATTCTAATCTTTGAATAATTTTGCTTCTTAGCTAATTACATGGTTGAAATTAAACATACATTTATTCATTTGAAAAAAGCAAGTAATAAAACAATAGCTCTCTGCTTGCATTATACCTGGCAAATATTATACAGCTTTTCTCCACCAATTACTTTTAAGTAGAAAGTCACAACTGTCTTCACAATAGCATTCTAATGAAAACCAATATATTTTCAAGAAATATTTTGCTTCATTGAGTCTCCATAAATGTTTTAGTCTTCATTTTTCAAAGAAATCTTCTTGCCTAGTCTCAGACTTGATATAAGTTCTAAATTACACTGCTGTTATATGTCACTTTGTGATTTCATGTAACATGTTATGAGGGTAAGACATTTGAGCTCATAAACTTCTTTATACTGAAGAAGGAAAAGCTCCTGAAGAGCAGACCAATTAATTTAAGAATCCTGTTGACAGGAGATATATAATTTCAGGCACGTTTACTCTCACACTGAATAACTTCTATTTCCCTAACCATGAAATCTGTGGAAACAAAGAATACCAATTTTTATTTGCACAGTGCTTGCAGGTATGCCCTATATACTGTAAATAAAATTTGTTGACTATAAAGTTAACATAAAATTTGTTAACTATAAAGTTAAATATACCTTTCCATGAGCAGAGGTATAATATCTGTAGTGTTTACTGGGATATTTAGTCATAAGTGTCAAGTATCAAATTATTATTTTGAAATGCAAAATCTAAGCAAGGAAGAGCAAATGTGTTCATTGTAGAGGGGAGAAAGTGAGGAAATGAAGATAAGAAAAGCAGTGAAGGAAAACCAGATAACATTTGAAAAATCCTAGAAAATACATTTGCCATATAGCAAAATATGAGATTGGTGGAAGAAAAGAGGAAGGTAAATTTCATAAAATTTAGTGAGCTATGAATGCTTGTTGTATTATTTAGAAATGGAACTTGGATGGCAACATTTTAAATGAAAGCTTTACAAGGAAGAAGTTAATAAGGGAAAAATGTAAATCGTCATTGGTTTCCTTTTTAGGCACATCAGATTTAATGTAGTTTGTTTTATTTCTGAGGTATGAAGTTGCCCTACCAGTGTTTTATGGTGAGATATTTTATTTTTTTAATTATTTTTAATGGATTTGCTAATTTAAATGGCAGCACAAATATCCATGTCTCTTGATTTACGACTTCTGTACTTCTTAATTGCAATCTGGGTTGTTACTAGCTTGTCACTTTCTGAAAACTTTCAATCTGCAGAACCATATGTCTGATAAGTTTAAATTCCTAGTTTATTGCCAGAGTTAAGTTAGATGATTGTAGAATGAAATGCATGTGTGATGTCTTTAAAAAAATATATAAAAGCAGCAAAATTAAACATATTAATAAGCTGAAGCAAATGATTTCTTCAAGCAAGCATTATTAGTGACAGTTCTTTATTCTAGTTATAAGGGGCTTCATATATAGGGAAGCTAACCTCTAAAGTCTGCAATTTATCAGCTTGTCATACTTCTCAGCAATTTCAGTCATACTATATGGACTTATCTGTCTCTTTAGAAAACAGAGTTAAGTGTAATTTGAAATTGTGATGGCCACCTCGTTGGGATGCAATTATTTTTAGAGTAGAAGATGTTTTCAAATATGTTCTAATTTGAACCATTGTGTGTTTATTGGTGAAGGTTTGTAATAGACCATACTAGATTAATAGACTCTGTGGCTTTAATGTGCCATTAGCCCTTACAACAACTACTTTGGTGCTTTGGTAAATATTGAAAGAGGAAAAGTATGTCATATTTTTCCTTAAAAAGATAATTGCAGTTTGGTTTTAAAGCCTGGAAAATTATTTTTAAAAATTCTCATACTTGGTATGGTTTTGAATACAAATGCTTTCTTTCTCCCAGTAAAGGCCACGGTTCTGCTTGTGTTACAAGGTACAGGTAATGTTTAGAAATTGAGAATGTTACCTTCCAAGATATAGTACCAGATTCTTCATCTCATTATCATGCCATTTTACTTAAACTTGATTGCTTCAAACAGAAAATTGAAATACCTCATAGATATAGCTATTTAATCTCTCAGTGCTTCACCTCTTAGGAACCTTCATTTAAACCTCAGTGATCATTTTGCATCTTGAAACTGCAGTTTGAGAGTTGAAATGATAGAGTTTCTTCCCTGTTTTTATTTCACCATATTTCAAAATGAATTGCTAAACATAAACTTGTAAAATCTTCAAATTACTTTGATGCACTGAGCAGAAGAAAGGCCATAAGTAAAAATTCCTTGACCAGAAGAACATGAATGAATCAAGTGATTGATGTGTCTGTAACCCACTCATAATGTTAGCAATATAAAGGACCCTAACATATGTTACAGTTCCAAGCCTGGGAGATGCAGAATGTTTGCAAGTGCCTTTGAATGAAGTGGTAAGAGGTGTTTAGCTTCTCAGAGATGCAGTTCTGTGCTTTGCACTGCAAGGGTCATTAGTCAAAGCACAACAAAACATTATTCAATCTTAATTATGAGCACGTATCTCAGTGACATGTGCTGACTCTATATGGGCTCTTTAATTTACTGAGACTTCTGATTGTACTG